GGATTCTGGGTCAGGTCTCTCCTCTGGATGGAGATGTCTCCGGGCACAGGAAGGTCTCAGAAGGACGGGATTCTGGGTCAGGTCTCTCCTCTGGATGGAGATGTCTCCGGGCACAGGAAGGTCTCAGAAGGACGGGATTCTGGGTCAGGTCTCTCCTCTGGATGGAGGTGTCTCTGGGCACAGGAAGGTCTCAGGAGGACGGGATTCTGGGTCAGGTCTCTCCTCTGGATGGAGATGTCTCCGGGCACAGGAAGGTCTCAGAAGGACGGGATTCTGGGTCAGGTCTCTCCTCTGGATGGAGATGTCTGAGTGGTCCTTGATCGAGGAATAAGTACTTCTGATATGAGGCTCCTCTGGGGGGTCCTTTGTGAGGATGGATATGACTTTAATATGAAGGTCTCTCCCGTTGGAATTTCTCCTCAGCTGATGGAGATGTTGAAGATATAAGACTGCCTATGCTTTGGGGTCCTGAGAGGATGGAGAAGACAGTAGTATTAGGTTTCCTCTCCTCAGAGGATGAAGATGGTGGTGGTGTCAGGCTGTCTCTCCTCAGAGGATGAAGATGGTGGTGTGTCAGGCTGTCTCTCCTCAGAGGATGAAGATGGTGGTGGTGTCAGGCTGTCTCTCCTCAGAGGATGGAGATGACTCAGGGTACAGCAGGCTCTTCGTGACAGGCCGGGCTCTCTCACCTCTCTCTCTCGGTAGCGGAAGCCGGGGATAAGGATGCACCCGGTGGCAGGCCCGCGGGGTGTCACGTGACAAAGGTATATCAAAAAAACCTTTTCCGCCCAGAGCGGGAGGCAGTCTCCTAGCAACCGAAGGACGCGCCCACCGCCCGGTCTGACCAATCCTGAGAGAGGATGCTGCGAGAATCCCAAACGAGATAGACCGTGTGAGGAGAGGGAGACCTACCGACCGTGAGAGGAGAGGGGAACCTACCGACCGTCTGAGGGGGGGAGGAGAGGGGGACCCATTGACCGTCTTAGATGAGGACCTACCGACTGTCCCTGAGTGTTACCAGTCCTTAGGATTGAGGTACCATCCCTGCCACCCCAAACACCGCACTG